TGAGGAGAGAGGCTGTCATTGGAGGCCAGGACCAGCCCACCTGGCCGGGGAAGGTGGGGGGCTGGCTGAGGGGTCTCACACCAACAGGCCCTAGCCTCCCAGATGTCCCACCCCCTCACCCACCTCCACTCTGTGCAGACAGCTCCGGATGGAGCCCATCACCCTGGTGACAAACAGCCCAGAGAGACAAGGACAACGGCCCCAGGCCTCTGACCACCTGCCAGGAGACCCTTCTCACATGCCACATGGCCAGGGGAGCTATCCCATCCCCTCTCGGAGCCACCGGCTCCTCATCTGAAGAGCAACAGAGGTGGGCTCCTTTTAACTCCACACATCTGGGGGGCCCTCCAAGGTGCCCTGGTGGCATAGTGGTTATGCATTCAGCTGTAATCTGCAAGGTCAGCAGTTCAAAAGCACCAGCCACTCTGTGGGAGAGAGATGGGGGCTTTCTATGCCCCTGAACACTTCCAGTCTTAGAAACTCACAGGGGGCAAGTCTTCCCTGTCCTGTAGAGTCAATATGACTCCAGGACAGTGACTTTGGTCTTTTGGCGTGGGACCTACAAGGAGCCCGGCATTGGGCTGATAGCGGGAAGGTTGGCCATTAGCAGGATTGACTGTTCTGTGGAAGAAAGATGAGGGCTATCCACTCCCATGAAGATTCACAGTCTCAGAAACCCTATCTAGAGTTGCTTTGAATTGGAACGCGGAAGAAAGAGGAGGCTATCTACTCCTGTATGAAGTGAAAGAGTTACCATCTCAGAAACCCAGAGAGACAGTTCTACCATGCCCTACAGGGATGTTATCCATCGGAACCAACTCATGACAGTGAGAGAGAAGAGTGGGGACCGACTGCATGGCCATGGGGGTGGGACCTTACAGACTCACAATGCCCCTGGGGTTTGTGGCCATACCTTTTGTTCCATCAACCTTGAGGGTTGACCCTGTGCTCTGCACTGTGGGTAGAAGAGGGGATGCAGACACAGATGAGACACAGGCATTGTGCAGAGCTGTGCCATGGAAGTGTCAGGTGGAGAAGAAAAAGAACCTGGTTCCTGGGGTCAGGCAGCCCTTTGGGGAGGTCCTGGACTTGTCACTGGCAGCTAGGTGACTCTGGGAAGCTACCCAAGCTCTTTGAGGCTCCTGTGCATCAGCTGTCACAAGGCGGTGATACGCACCTGGCAATGTGTATGAAGAATTAATGAGGGCAGAAGGCACATGTGTCAATGCGTGTTGTTACCTTTATTCCCATGACCCTCCCTCCCAGAGCCCCGGAGGAGGGGCTGTGGGCGCTCCTGTGTATAAGCCCAGGGAAAACACCCCCTTCTCTCCCAGCTCTCAGCCTATCCGCTGGATCCATCGCAGAATGCTTTTTCCAGTGGGGTTACTTCTGTCCAATCTGCTGCATATGCAAAAAGTAATCAAATAAACAATAGTATCTTAATAGTCTTCTTGAGACCACTAGCTATCTAGTTACATTTGCTCATGAAATCCTCAATTTGTCTTCCTAAGGGAAAATGTGTAGAAAAGCACAAGACTCACTAAGGCTCCATCCAGGTCACCTGCAGAGGTGGGTGGGATGCTGCTCTCAGGCCTCTGCAGGGCTGCCTCACCCAGGCCACCCCTGCCACGTGCATGCCCACCAGGGAAAAGTCCAGACCAGAGAGCTGCGGCAGACCCAGAAATCAGAACAGAGCCAGGCATGGTGGGATAAAGGGCTTGGCAACCAGCCTTGGAAGGCTCTAGAGCAAAATCAACACGGCCAGATGTGGGATTCAGGCGGATTCCCCTCTTAGCCCTGCAACTTAGTGCCCAAGGCCCCCTGTCCTCAGAGCTCAGAGGATCACTAAGAGAATAACCCAAGGCAATGGCTATTTGAGCAAGTGCTTTGTCAGGCCTGGTGCTCTGAGGGACAGTCCTCCACAGACCTCCACCCCTTTGAAGAGACACAAAGCAGTGCTGATGGCCCCCATGTTTCATACCACCGTACTGTCTCACTAGGGGGCCGGCCAGCCAGATGCTGGCCCCTGGCCCAGACCTGGCTGAAGGAGCGTAGGCTGGCCTTCGGGCCCCACACATTCGCTCAGCTGGGAGTCCTTCCACCAGGCACACTGTGCACAGATCCACAAGGGGACTCTGGGTCGTCTTTCTACATAAACCAGGGGCAGAAGGGTTAAGTCAAGAGGCACTTCTACAAACAAAAGGCAGTGCTGCGCTCATTCCCTCACCTCCTTCAGCAACTGGAGCAAACAGAGCGGCCTTCCCTGACCACCGTCTATCAATTAATAACTTTCCACACTCCCTGTCTCCCTTGACCTATTTCATTGCTCTCTGCAACATTTACCATCACCACCCAAGGCAATGTATAATTATAAATATAGAGAGGGGAAGACAATGGACCCATATCCGTGTGTGTGTGTGTGTGTGTGTGTGTGCGCGCGCGTGCGCACGCGCGCGCAGGAGCTCCAGGTACCATTCCTGGACAATGCACCCTGTGTACATCAATGGAGACTTGTGCGTCTCTAAGATGTTGAAAACATTGCAGAGAAACTTCCAAACTAAGCCTAGGAAGGACGGCCTGGCTCTCTGCTTTCCAAAAGTCTGCCAATGAAAACCATATGGTCTGACTTCCTCGTGCATGGGGTCAACATGAGTCAGGGGTCAATTGGACATCAGCTACTAACAGCAGCCTGTGGACGTGGATGACATATCGTTAATCTATTGATATATAAACCTGCCATCTGACCCCTCCACTCAAAGAAAGCAGGGAGGGACGGCAACGATTGTGTCCTCTTTTGTGCACGGCTTTAGCCCCGGGGCTTAAAACAGTACCTGGACCATAGGAGATTCTGGGTAAATATGTGTTGGGTGAACAGTTGAAGTAAAATATTAGCAACTAGAAAATATTTTTTAGGAAATCTCCTAGGGAGTCTTGTGAAGGCTCTGGTTCAGAAGCCCATAGTTTTCAAGTGGGGAGAGAGAAATCAGGCGACCAGAGACATCTGTTGCGCTCGTTGGGAGAAAACTGTAGTATTCTCCTCCTTTACATCATATTCCAGGTAGATCAGTAATCAGAAGGGCCCTACTCAAGGCTGGTCGATTATTCCGGATGTTGAAAACCAAAAGGATGCATCCATCTGAAAGGAGGACTGCTAGTCAAAAGCCATCACACGCAGTCCCTCAATGTCCAACAAACAAAAGGGATACTTTTCCCATTAGGAAATACTTACAAGATCTTCGACCACTGAGACCTATCAGTCAAGGGCCCAGCATGTCCCACCAGAGGGGGCCTGAGCCCTATCAGCAGGGGACCCAGCATGTCCCAGCGGAGGGGACCTGGGCCCTATCAGTCAGGGG